CGGGGCAGGTCGCACTCTTCCTTTCGCCCAGCGGGGCGTCGACCCGAGAAACGTGTGCCTGTTCCCAGGCAGGGGATGGACGCAGGGACACACCGCTCCATAACATGCCACCGAGATACGAGAAATAACCCCCGGGCTCCCATTCAGGAGGGCAGCGCTAACCTGCCTGCCTTAGGGAAGGGTGCCAGTGCTGGGCTGAGGCGGCTCTGCCTCCTCACCTGGACCGGGTGCGCTTCTGAAGCCAGGGCGGTACAGAGCATGAAGATGTATGTTGCATTTCTCCCGAGCTGGGAGGTCGGTCTCAAGGGCAGGTTGTTCCCTCAGGAGAAGGTGCCTTGTTGCCAGGCCTATGCAGGCGTCCTGGAGCCCACCTGGGAGAGGAGCTGTGAGCACACAGGGGAGCGGGGCTCACCTCATGGGCAGGGCTGTTCGCTTGGGATGGTTTGGTTTCTGCTGCTAGGGCTGTTCTGTCAGATAACTCTTTTACCAAATAGTTAATAAAAGGTGAAATATAAAAAGCAGAAGGAATAGGATAGTTCTTGTTCCCAGATGATGTCAGCCACAAGGTGGCTGCAGACTGGTGGTTGCCATTGCTAGTTAAGTGAACCTTGAAGAGCGGGTCGTGGGAGAGGCAAACTTGTGCCTAGTTTATCCAGCACCAGTTGTATGTATCCCAATAAATCTTACTTCTCTGTGCAATGGCTATTCTCTAAAAGCAGCAGTAGAGTGTGTTTCTATGCAGGATTACCTGTCAGTATTTATACTCTTATTTGGGAGGAGGGTTTATATCAAATCTAGCAGATGTGGAATTGAGCCACCGCTGTGAGTCAGTATTTTAATGTCTGGGTTATTAAACGGAAACAAATCCGCACATCGTCAGTGGTGACTGCATTGAAGACTGAGTTCTATGCTGTTCCTTGAAAAATCTAAATTTACTTGCTCCAGGTTGTATTCTTGAGTGAGGGGAGAAGCGTTGATACCCAATGTGAGATATACAAGGGTTTGATTTCAGACTGTTTTAAGACTTAACTCTCTTCATTCTTCCTATTGCCTGTCCCTAGGCAACTGCTGACTGTGCTGACTTGTCTGGATCCAGTCCTTGGGTGTCTGACTCTTTGTGTTCACGTAGTAGGAAGCCTAGGCACTTTGCTCGGGTTTCTGAGTTCCATCTGGAGGACGTGTCCGAAGAACTGGGCATAGCAATACCCAAGTCTCTGCTGCATATCTTTGTTATTGGGTCTAGGTATTTGCCTATGTCTTGAGAGATTTATACTGTAAGAAATGGACTCAAAATATATATTTAAGTAGTGTGAGATTTGTTGATAATTTGGCTAGAACTTAGGTGGCTAATTTGACTAAAACTAAATTTCTCCTATGGGGATGGAATTCACAATGATTAACCCCCCCTATATATTTCTAGGTGACATATCAAGCATTCATAACTGGGATTTGCAACAGTAGACCTACCAAGTCCTGGGATAACTATGGCAAATTGTAAATACTTGAAGAGAGAAGGACATGTAGGTCTATCTTCTTATCTGTCTAATAATGATTGAGGTACTTCAGTCTGCCTTTTATATTAGCTAGTGGTTGAACCACTTGCTTTGTGCCTCCCCCAGAAGACAATGAAAACATGGTAGGCAAATTCAATGATAGTATGTTGGGGATATTAGAGAAAATTACATAGGAGGTAAATGGGAGGGACCTGCAACACAGAAATACATAACCTGAAATTTACCTAAGTAAACCTTCAAATGCTGACTCTTTGTTGGCAGCAAGAAATCTACTATTAATTATCTTAATTTAATTCTCATGTAAAATACAGGAGAGGGCAGCAAAAATTCTTGGCCCGGAAAATTGACTAAAACTAGTACAGTAAACTTGACTGATAGATAAACATTTATAAGCATGATGTTACGAACATGTTGATATATCTTGAGGGCTGCTTCTATATATGTTGAATAACTGTACTGGAAAGTGTTAAAGGCCAAGTTCAGCTAATGAAATTTGTACTGTTCCTAACCTAGCTTCTGTGGACACATAAATTACCCCTTCGGGAACTTATTCTTTGGCACCAGACTTGCTTCCTGTAACCCAGCTTGTTCACCTAGGGCTACCTTGGGTGTTTGTATAATGCTGCACTCTGAAGTGTTGATGTTCCTAACTGATTAAGTTAGAGTAAATATTTTTGACCATGTTATTACCTCCATATAGAATTAGTGCTTACTCAGCTGATACCCTGCATGCCTTCTGAGCTGTGTCTCCTTTAGTCACTATAAGTGACAGGTAGTACAACAGAGAGCACAGAATAAATTGAGTAAGATGGAAAAAGGAAAGACAGAGTAGGCTGTAGAGGACAGTGAGAAGAGGACTTGTGTTTCTTCAGAACGAAGTTCTGCCTTTTTTGACAACAAATGTGCAAAATTGCTTGGTTGAGCTGATCGATGATTATTTCACTGGGGTTATCGAGTACATGTATTTGCTACTTTGAGGTAGACTTGCAGGGCAGTTCTCGTCTCATTTTTTTATTACAGGATCCTGAAATACATAATTTAACATACCATTCCAGTTGCTTTCTGGGTATAAAATAGATGACGGTTTTAGTCCTGCTTTGCCATCAAGAGCTTCAGAGTTCTCTACCACAGATAGCTTGGTAAGGTGCTTGCAACACTGGATTGTATAGAGATACTCATTTTCCCTTGTTATGCATAGCATATTCTGCTTCCAATACTCATGTATGCTTAGCAAAGAATATCAGTTTTCTCTTTACATGGACTGAATTTTCAGAATTGTTGAGTAGCCCAAATAGGGTTCTTTGTCCCTTTCAGGTAAAATACACTTTAGTTCTAAAACTGCTGTCAGGATGAAATCTTAGCTCCACTGATGTCTATGGCAAATTCCTGGGTTTTTTTAATGGAATCCAGATTTTTTTGCTCTTTTGCCCTTCTCTTTGCAGGTTTAATAAGTCTTTCTGTTCTCTGTGTTTTCAGACCTGCTAATACTGTGTGTATTGAGGGAAGATGCTTTGTCGGTATGAGATACAGAGCTGTTTCCTCTTGGCATTTTTAGCTGTCACAGCTTTCTTCATCAGTGATGCCCAGAGCCAAGGTAAGTCATAAATAAGATGACAGAGTTTTTCACTCTGATGTGCAGAAATAGACTTTTTTACTCCAAATGCAAATGTTACTTCCCTCTTAGTAGGATGTGGATCTGGTACTATTGAAATGGAGCAGGAGTTTAGCTGCTGATCTTGGGGCGGGGGGAAGTAGAGTTACAAGTTAATGTGTGCTCTTTAAACCTAGTATCTCAAATAGAATAATTCTTTTTGCAAATTCAGGTGTCTCAAAATGAATTATACAGAACATTTTAAAACTCTCATTTACATGAAAGTACTGATCAGAAATTGTTGTGACTGTTCTCTGCATAATCAAGTAAGTTGGAAGGATCAGCTATGTTAATAAGCTTGTGTGGAATATATATTTTTTCTTTGTTGGAACAGTAGCTCTTGTAACACATCATTCAGTATTGCACAGGACTGTTAAATGTCACAGATTACTTCTGCAGCTTTTTTTTTTTTAAAATCTCCTTTGTGGGTATTAGATACTGCTGAGGTTGCTTAAATACGTGTTGGATCATATTGACAGTGGTTGGACTTCTAGAGAAAATGTGTCCTATTGCTTGGGGAAGAAGGGAGGAAGAATGCCAATGAGTTTTTTATGGTTTCTAAAGAAAAACATTTTGCTCGACTTCATGTAATCCCTTTGATATGAGACTGCACAGGCATAACTGGGAGCAGAATTTGATCTTGGGGCTCTTGTGAAGTGTCTTGTATAATGCATTATTCATGAGTAAGTTCATAAACTAGTGGCAACCTGGGGCTTTCCAAGTTCTGGTAAATGCAAGTAGCAGCGCTGCCCAGTCTGTGTGGCGCTCAAGTGCTAGGGAGGCATACCATCTTGGATGGTTGGGAACCTGTGAGCATTTTACAAGCCTCTCCCAGAACTTAGGGACACATGTAAGCAGTAATATTTAATGTGGGTGATGTGAGGTGAATGAAGAAATACATGTTCCCAATGTTCAACACATCAATTCTGGTTAGAAATGAGGTCCAGAATGTTCGTGACTTAACGAGCCAATAAAGCAAAGCATATGGTTAGTACTATCTTTGTGTATTTCAGTCCTAATACATATGGTTAAGATTTGCAAAACAGGATTGGGGATTGAGATCCACCTCCAGAAAGTTTTGCGAAATTTCTTGAGCTTAGAAAACGATGCTCTTCCCTCGACTTTTTTTTTTTTTTAAGCTGTGATTTAATCAGTCATATATAAGAGAGAAAACTCTCAAACTATTAGTACAATGAAGTGAAGGTCAGAGAGAGGTTTTTCCACAATCATCACACCAGCAGAAGCTAGAGTTGGTGTACTTTATTCATCAAGAACAATACTTCCCTTGTTCTTACACGCTTTCAGCAAGCATCAGCTGCTGAATGCTGTCAGCAGTGTGATACTAAGCTAAGTGGACTATTGCCGTGGCCCAAAATGACTGTTAGTTATTGAATGAGGTGATATGAAGTCTCCGTTCCATGTTTGCAGAATAAAAATATCTCTTGCTACACTTAAAGTAGTAAGATGTTTCTCTGATCCTTTCTTTTCTCAAGGTTGCCACTCCTTGCAGTAAACCCTTCATACAGCTAGCTAACTATTTACAATTTAATACAGCACTAACAGTATGTTTGTCTGTTTTAAGAAATTGTACACTCTGCCAAGAAGTAGGAAGAGCTGGTATTAGTTCCAGCTTGTGTTTCCTTCCTTTGGCAAAGATGCTCAGGTAAAGGTATGTAATGTGACTTCTTGGAAGGGAGAATGTGTTTGGGAGACTGAAGTCAACATGCCTGAAGCTACAACTTATTCCATCAATTGAGGAGTTATCTGCATTGAGCTACATGGTTTTATCTCATTTATTGCCTGAATGCCTTATAAACATCATAATGCCATTCAGTTTTTACTCAACAACAATTATTCTTTCATCACTGCTGTTTCTTCCTCATTCAGCATAATGTCACTTAAACAACAGCAGCAAAAAAATCTGGCTTTTGTCTACTTGTGTTCTCATATAGCACACAAAAATAGTGCTTGGCAAGAAAAATACTTTAGAATTTCCATTTATTCATAAAGTAACTTGTTTTGAGAATTTTCCTTCTGTATTTAAAAATGGAAACTTTTCTTTGTGTATCAATAATTTCCATGTGTTACTAATGTAATTGCTAAGTAATTGCAGTGCATATTAACTTGTTCAATTGTTACAACAAAAGTAAATTGGAAGCCACAAGGTTTAGTTAGTATCCAGTCTTAGACTATTGGATGTCCTGGAGAGCTGCACATATGCAATTTATGGTATTTTTCCTTTTTGTTAAGATATTGATTATTTCAAAACACTCTTTTCCCTAGTTGTCCACAAGACTCGTGTATTTGGAGTGCTAATTTATCTGGTGGCATAAACCAAAGTCTTGAACTTGTCTGTAGTTTTCTTTTGGGTGACTGCTCTAATGTTGCTGACGGCCATTCTCTTTTGCATTCCTGTAAAACCACTTAACAAGCTCTAGCTACTGATTTTTATCAGTTAACCGACTCAGCTTGGATTAACTTTTTTCCCTTTCTGCAAGAAGTGAGATTTTGTTCCACAGACAATAAAGGTCCAAAGAAATAAAGATATCCTCTTCAGGTTGGTGAATGTGTAGTAATTCCCATCAATATTTTGTTGTCTGTTCAAGTGATAGATTTTTAACTTCCTTAGCTATATGTACTTTTCTATGCTAGAACATTAGTCTTTGCACAACTAAGACACAGCTGAGTATCTGGTGAATAATTCTTTTCTTCCTTATGGTTAATTGCTGTGTGGGAATGTCCATTCCCCTGCACTGCCACCTTTGATACAAAAAGTACCTAGTGAAAATTGACTAGTTATGTAAAGACTATTCTGGCACAACTTTTCTAGTCTTTCACATTGTAACTCTGTAGTAAACAGAAAAACTTTTGGTGATTGTGTCCTCCTTTGCTTGTAAGATCTGTGATTGTTTTTTAGGGGCTCCTAAAATTTACCTGTTTTGGTGATGGCTAATAGCAATTAAACCAGAGCTATGCTGCTTTGTTAGAAGATGCTTTTATAAACTGTTAAGTTGAAAGTAGGATGGAATGCAATGACAGGGGAAGGAAGAAGATGGCAGAGAAAATGAACTCTGAAATTCTAAAACGTGATTATTTTTGTCAATCCTTGGTGTTACTTTATTGATCTCTGCTCTGCCTCTTAATCCCCATAAAAATTTAACACTTAATCCTGGTAGAATTTGCAGCATTTTTACACTTGCATACTGTCATTGTCAAAAAGTATATTCACTATTCCTTAGATGAAATAAATAATAAAAGGAATTGCATATTTTTCAAACTTCTAGGTATGATTTGTCACTCTTGTTTCATTCAGCCCGACTTCATTGTGATTTATGTATAGCTCAAAGACAGAATGAATCTTGAGAATGAATTAAAAGCTGTAATCCATAACTACAGTCTGCTTGGCTTTCAAAACTTTTTGCCATAGTCTCTGTCATTTTATTACAATTATAGCATGCTGAATGTTCTTGCAGAAACCTGCCTGACCAAACATTTTGCAATACAAGGGCCAAATTTTCAAAGAACTGATTTTGTATTTGCAGTGATTCCTGCACACACTCTTACTTGCAGGTTTTTTCCCTCTAAACTTCAGGGAGGTGACAGGCAACCTGAAGACAAGGTCTGACAAGTTTGTGCCCAGCAACTGGGGAAATGCACTGTTTGGCTGTAAGCCCAGTGCTGTGAATCAGAACAGTTTTGAGTGTGTGGAATTGGTGTGCTACCTGCTGTTTCTGTCCCCTGGCCTCTCTTCTTGAGCTTGTTCTCCGAAGTCTTTGAGAAGGTGAAGGTGTTACTAAGCTGTTCTTGGTGCTTAGGTACTCTCTCTTTTGTGTTCTGGTGTGAAGTCCCTCAAGGCAGAGAACTGCAGAACCTGCCTTTGGTCTGGTAAAACTGTCCGTTATGGATTGAGAGTCTGGATGCAAGGGAATACATCTCTTTTATCTCCAGATTTTTACTTCTAAGACCCAAAATTTTTTTAATGGTAGATGGCATAAGGAATACACCACCTTGAATCTCAAATAACTACAGCCTGCCTCTTTCCTTCTCTTTTTTCTTCCCCCAAGCTGTTGGAAAAAGAAGCATGTAGGAAAAAGTAATCAGCTCAGGACAGGTCTTTGGCTGCTGCTAGTGCCAGAGCTGCATTGACTGTTGCGGGTAAAATGGAGAGGCCAGGGACTGTTGGCTAACACATTCTGCCTGTTGACTCAGATGCTCCATATGCTGTAATCCTTAAATCTCAGAAATATCATGAGAACTGTTAGTTTGTTATATTTAATGGACCAACAAACAGTGGGCATAAGCCTAATCAATTAAGAGCTACCTTGGGCCCTGGGGAAAAGAAATTGCCATTTCCCCTCTTCAGGTAATTTCCCTTATTTCTTAGGCTTACTAACAGAAACCTTAAGACTGGTAGTGGCAGAGACACCAAGGGTTTGGAAAATGAAGGAGAAAGTTCAGGGGTCTGTGGAGGTAGTGGGAAGAGGGAGGGGTAAGGCTGATGGAGGAGTTTGTTAAGCTTTTCTAGCCCTTTCTGTTGTTCAGCCTTTGGATAGCTTCCCTGGCTGCCTTTCCCTCTAGATCAGTTCTGTGAGCCAAACCCTATTCAAATGTGTGAAGATTTCCTTTTATTAATAGCCTTGGATACCACAGGCTGCATAACTAGCAGCTCTCCTTCAGTTTTTTTGCTGTGAAGGAGGGATCTGGCTCCCTGAAGCAGAGCAGAAATGCTATGTAGAGTCTTGTCCAGCATCAGTGGAGCTTGCCTGAGTTAGAGGGATGGAAAGCTGTGAAAAACTATTTTATGTGCATAGACACAAACTTGCTGATAACGCAGTGACAACATAGGGTGGATTTTCCATTTGTTCTTATGTGTGTTGCTTCACTGAAATATCACCTCTTTCTCAATCATTTCATGCTTTTATTCATTTCACCTGCAACTTCTATTTGAAACCTAGGTGATGGCACAATAGAAATACAAGCCAGATTTGCTTACCATCCAGGTTGCCCCTGCCTAAATCTTGACTTGCATATGCATGCCTGCTAGGCTTGATGAGACCGAAGCAGTGCTTGCAGCTGGGCAAGTCCATGTGCTGCTTAGGCCAGATTTCCAAACTGGGCTGCTGATGTTCCCTCTGCCCTATGCATGCCTATCTTTCCTCTTGGTTATTTTGTCTTCATGAGGCTTTGAAAATTTGGCCCGTAGTGACCTTAAATGTGGGGAAACGACCACAGTAATGTGAGGTAAAGGAGGCTAGGTAATGCATATTGTCACTGTAAGCCAGGAGAGTGATTTTAATTCCCATATATTAACAAAGAGCATTTTTATTACCAGCTTTGCCTGCTAAACTAGAGTCTTAACATCTAACACTGTTTGTCTTTCTGTCCTCTGCTGTTAGGTTGTTTGTTTGTTTTTATAAAAAGATAAATACAAGGTATGACTGAGGGAAGTAGTGCACCTGGGGATGTCATTTTACAAACTAATAAACTGATGTATGTGACATTTTGAATAACTTGCATCCTTTATCATTAAAATGTTGTGTTGTCTTCCTATATGTGTTTATTTTTGTTTGTTTAAAATTGGAGGTTACCTTTTATTTGAATTATAAATCTTGTTTTCTTTCCCCGCTTGCAGTGTCCCCACCAACAAGACTAAGATATAATGTAGTCAGTCCTGACAGCGTACAGATCTCTTGGAAAGCCCCCAAAGGGCAATTCACTGGATATAAGCTGCTTGTCACTCCAAGTTCAGGTAAAACAAAAGTCCTGTATGTTCTCTTTTAAGGTGAAAGGACTGTCTTCCTAAGGCTGAACAGTTTTTCAGAGACTAGTGTCATCCTTCAGGACTAAGGAACTGTGAGCAAGCTATGGATAACAGAGTAGTGGCTGGTCAACGAAAGAGAGAAATCGATATCATCAGAGGGTGATTATAGGCATAGAATATAGGAACCGAGTGCTTAAGGTAGTAGAAGTGGATGGATGCTGGTTATGTTTCATATGTAGTCCTTGGGAATTGTCACTGATCATCTGTGTTTACCTTTCTTCCAGTGGGATGTAAGGAAATCTAGGAAGTGTTCAAGGGAGAGCATGGGAACCCTATTTCAGTCAAAGCTTTGAGGTGGATCTCCCTGGGCCTTCTCCCATAGTAAGCTCCCCAGAAAAGACCAAAAAGATTTTTAGATCAAACTTAAAAAACCTAAAACCTTTTAAAATTTTTTTGAATGAAAACTTGAAATGTAGAGGTAGGCAACAAAGTGGCTATATCAGGCTACCCCTGTAGAGGTACTACTTCTGTACATATTTAAATTTGGATATAGATACACTTTTAACATACAGCTAAAATACATATTTGTATACAATCTTTATAGGTATATGTATACATAGAAATGTTTGATATTTGTATTTATACATGAGAATTTCCTTGCCCAAAGGAAGTGAGCAAAGAGGGTATTCGGAGATGATGTGGGGACGATGGGGTCAGAACTCTCAGCCAGTCACAGAGCAGTGTGAAATCCTGTGAGTGTGATGTTACCAAACTTGACAGCTTTTTGTCAAATATTTCTTTTTTTCTTAATTAATAGTTTAACTGAACACTGTGGCTATTCCATGAGGCCCAGCTACAAAGGCTGATTGATCTTAGAGTGTCTGTGTCTAAGAAGTCTGATCTGTATCTTTGGTCAGGCTGCATGACTTCCTGCTTTTCTCACATGTCCTCTGGCCTGGCTGTATGGATAGTCCCAAAAGTGGGAACACTTGGGTCACTGTAGAGCTTGAGGTAGTTTTAAGTCATTACATTTACCGTGCTATAAAAAAAAGCAAATAAAGTTATGTATTTGTGGTTTTTCTTGTTTGTTTTTTTCTCACAGGTGGAAAAACCAATCAATTAATTCTTCAAAACACTGCAACCAAAGCAATTATTCAAGGTCTTATTCCAGATCAAAACTATGCCCTTCAGATCATTGCATTCAGTGAAGACAAGGAGAGTAAGCCAGCACAAGGCCAGTTCAGAAGTACGTGTCTTTTTATGCCTGACATGAATAATTTATCAGATATTCAATGTAACTTATGAAATTGTAACAAAGTCAGACACAAAGGGGGACGATGGAAAGTTTCTTCTGTGGTGGAAGGCTAATCAGAGGCATAGATTTTAACTGGTACATGTACAGCTGAAGGCTTGAATTGATCCAGTCACTCTTGCACAGGAGATTCTTGTGTTGGCCTATCTTTGTTTCTGTTCATTTAGAATCCCTTTCTTCCCCATACCATTAAGTTAGCCAGTATCTCCTGGAAAAGAATCTTCAGTGAGCGGAAACAAGAACGGACGTGCTATATTCTGATACTTAAAAAAAATTTCCTTCTCTTCATCCAGCTTTTCATTAAAACATTCTTATAGCTGTGCCAACTGGCAACTAGTTGCTGGTTCAATAATACTATGAAAGACTGAATTCTTGTTGGTTTTCAGCTGTCAGATATGTCCACAAATTATAGTTAAGACTTTTTTTATCTGACCTACATACACTCTTAATGTGTATATCATAGTGATATTTATGTCTTAGCTGATTTGTCTTGATCTGCATCTTAAACAGTTCAATTAAATATGATCAGTGGAGACTTGGTCAATAAAGACAAAAATGTGACAGTCTGGGAGTACAGCTGAAAGCTTACTGAATTCTCTTGACACTGAATATTTCTCATTGTCATTGCTAAACTGCGTTTCTCTTAGCATATTTTATCTTGTGCTGGTTCTGATTGCTTGATGTGGTGTGTGTCAAAGTCTTTCTAGTTTTTCATCACTGCAACTCTATTTACTACTTTAAGTTCTATCCCGGTTAGGAAACCCACGAAACCACAGATTACTTTAGCATTAAAGTGCAGCCCACAGAAAGCTACACCAACTTCTATAACGTTAGGTGTGGCTCTTTCTTAAACTATCTCTATTCCTCAGGAAAAGTAGAGTTGGCAACTTAAGAATATGGCGGTTATGTTCTGTTTAGTATACTCTTTGCTGCAGGTGAAAATATGTAGTACTTAATGAGGCTGGAGTTTCATTTGACAATACAATGCATTGCATGAGTAAAACCATATAGAACATGTATATAAATCCTTCTTTTTTGCTATCCTGTGTTCTATATATTTTTCCTCTTCTCTGACAAGTGGTCGCTAATTCTTGAGATGAAAAAAGGTCGAACATACACAAAACTTTGAGAACATCCTCTGGTTTAGTGCACTGAAAGTAAGTTTTTAACGCTGCTGAGTTGTAACTGATGTACAAATAATTCTTAAGCCTACAATAAAATTTTATTGTTAAAAGAGTATTCCTCTTCGTATAGCCAGGTATACATTCTTATTCTAGTGCTAGTACATTCTATTCTGGTACATAGCATGTAATTAACAAGGATCACTGGGGATTTTTTTCCTTTTAGAATGCAGCTGCAAAAACATGCACTGGATGAGTTTTTTGTCTGTGTAAATATGTGAGTAAAACTGGTGTCTTCTTGTCTGTTCTTCCTATGTTGTTAAAATTTTGACAATTAGAAATGCCTTTCCAAATTCGAAATCTCTGTCAGGATGTGACCAACTTGTCTCCTATGAGCACTTTCAAACTTTTGTACTGTTTCTCTGGAGACTTGCTGCTCAACAGCACTAGCGTTAGAGGAGACCATCAAGCAGCTCCTTAGCTTGCTCTTAGCCTTTTCTCAAAGGAATGCTCTTAAAAGGCTAAACAGTGGCATCCTTTTTGGCTAGTGTTATTCTGGTAATTTCATCTCTTATGTTAGTTGGAGTCTTGTTTAGGTAAGGATTAAGCCCAGACTTCTGAGTAAGACCAGCTAATAACCAAGATCTACCTTGGTAAAAGCTGACTCCTCAGCAAGCTTGTGGACCTGAATTTGCTTCTGAATCAGTTTTACAACTGTTCACTGAAGGTAAAGGTGATGTACAGGTACACATGCTGTGTTAGTAAGGAGAGGAGCTAAAATTTCAGTTGGTTTTTTCCCTCAGTTTTCCTAGCTCTGTACCTGGCGTGTGAGGGCTGTTGGTTCTGCAGGGGGCCTTAGGGATTATATTTTAGATTGGAATTTAGAGCACTGCTGGCCGTTTCAGATATTCCATATACTATTGGGTAAATTAGTGAAATTCATTTGACCTTGGTTCCACTTCAGTAAAACAGAATACTTGTATTGTCTATTTTATGTCATATGTTTCGAAAGACAGATAACTTTCACCCTCTCACAGTGTATTTGGAATGATGTAACACAGAGAGACTCTGATCCTGGCTAAGACTCAGTACCTGCTTGGATGAATGTCTGTCATAATCCAGCTCTACATAACCTAAAAATTTTGATTGAAAGATATTATGTTTCATTCTTTTAATCTGTTCCTGGCCATTGTAGGCAGCTGGGGTGTTGACAACAATTAGTGTTCTAAGGAAATTCTGAAAGGATTCCACCCCCTCCACCCCATAAGTGACTTTAGCAATGATTTTGCTGGAATCTTTCTGACTATGAGTACAGTGATACTGGCTACTAATGTAATATTAGGAATTGGTAATCAAGCTGGGTTCTGCTTGGCTGTTATGAGATTTGGGACATAATAAGGGAGGTATCCCACTCACTTGTGGGACAGGAAAGTGTTGAAGTCTGAGCTTTGAAGCAACTTTGCTCTCATGGGAGTTTTTGGTGCCCTGAACACAGATTTGGGCATGGGATCTAAGCTGTTTCTTTAAAGAGGATAAAGTAACAGCTGGCTTACGTGCTCTTGTGTTGAATGACTTGGGGTGGAACTGTGCAATTCTGGACTTTCACCAGCTAGCTTTGCCAGTTTTCTGGACTATATTTCCAGTTCTGAATCTTGTCAGTGTGAGCTTAGGTGCTTATATCACTGTATTTGGACTCTCCTGTGCGAGGAGAGTAATTTTTGAGAACTTTAATGATGATAGGATGGGGAAAGATTCATAAAAAGAATAAACCCAAAGGGAGGGAGGGAAAACCCAGTAACAATCACTTGTTACCTAAGCATATTGCAAAATGCTGCATCCAACTGCTATGGAAGAAGAAAATCACATGCTTCTGACCACAGTGTTTCTAGTTTGATTGATTATTTTTTCTCTCCTTACTTTTCAGTTAAAGATATAGAGAGAAGAAAAGAAACAAATAAATCCAAGGTGAAGGATCCAGAAAAAACAAATGCGAGTAAACCAGCTCCAGAAGGTCAGATCATAACACATATGACTTGTGTGATATTCTGAAAATAACCAGCATTTTTATTTAACTTGACCATTGTATAGATTTTCTTTAAGTCAGTACTTGAAATCTAATTCCCAAAGTTAAGTTAAATGGAAAGGAAAAAACCAGTATTTTCAGGAATATTGGAGAGTTGCTGCAATGGAGATATTGCTTTTAGTTCTGTGTTTTACTTTACCGCTTTATACAGTAAGCACTTAATACCACCATGAATAGCATAAAAGCAGTTGTTGAACCTGCATGAAAAAGTCATGTTGCCTGTACTTCCCCACAGGGTGCACTTTGAGTAGTGAAAGAATTGCGCGTGTGTGTATATACATAATAATAACTCCATATCATCTTGGCTGCAAGACCGACCTGCAATATTTATTCCCACCTAAGGTCCAATTGGTATTATTGTATAATTAGGCACATAATAACTTGATAACTCTGTCCTAATGTAGGTCATATATATGAAAATGTGAAATATTTTGAGGGGAGAAAAAGAGTTCATTTTGCCCAGTTGCAAGGAGCCAATCTTCTGGTGAAATGTGATACTGCTTGTCATGAGAAACTTCTATAGTACAGACAGTAAAATCTATTTCAAGCTTAATATATAACTCTATTTCCTGTTATTCTAAAATTGAAATGGCATCTTCTTTATGAAGTAACCCCAACAGTAATTATTCCCTTCAGTGGTTATTTATGATGTACAGAACAAGCACAGATGAGAATAGCTTGATCTAGGTCTCTCTGAATAAATAGGACAGTTTCAATGATCCCATTTCTCCCATCCCTTTTAGCTGTGTCTCCTACTAGTGCAAGTATCAAAGACCTCACCCAAAGCTCCTTGAAGCCCATGCAAATTCTCACTTCAGTGGGGTTTTTCTTCTTGCCATATATACTTGTGTCATGTTGTATTTATTAACACTATACAAGTTTGTTTCCATACAGCATTTCTCAAGCCAAAGCACCCTTGAATTCATCACCTTGGGTGCAATGCGGAAAATGTTAGCTAGTATTTACAACGCTTAAAGAAGCAAGTTATACCTGCTGGTGCATGATAGGGTAGTGGATAGGTGATCTTTCTTTCATGTCTAGGGGAAGACTGAGTTGGAAGAAATGAGAGAACTAAAGAAGGAAAATATGATTTGTTTTCTTAATGAAGGACAAGTGATAAAAGTTGAAGGAGGGAAAACTGGGCCTGTAATAGGAAAATGTTGATTAAATGCAGACAGAGGAAAGTGTCTGCCAGACTGTGGGAGAGGATTTATGCTTTTTCATGAAGTAGGGGCAAAAATACAGTTGGCAAGAGGAGGTTGGATCTGCACTCTCTCCCTTTTTAGGATTCTTGTTTACTTGTTAAGTTTTCAGCTCAGTTACTTTCTTCCTTCCTGCACAACATTTTACTTGTCTAAACTTCCTCAGTTGTATTGGGGGAGTTTGTATCAGAGCAGAATATGCTTCCATCCAGAACTTGTGAAAAGCTATTGCCTTACACTTGCTATAGCAGGTTTTACTAGAAAACTGGGGTATATATTTGAAAGAAAGACAAAACTTACAAACTTCTCGATCAGCAAAACTAACCAAAAAGAAAAAACGTTATGCTTTTTATGAATTCTTGATGTTGTTTAGCCCTATTCCCAACCCAGCTATATTTTAATGTAAAATAATAGACTTTTTTCCTACACTCTAGCTATTGCATATTTCTTCCCTGTGCGCAATATAATGATTATTCAAAGTGATGGAGATTCCAACTGAATGACTTCAGTGGGAGTAGGGTGAGAGGCCAAGGAAAAAAGTTGTGTAGAAATTACAGCATCAGCAAAAAAATGCATAGTGGGATAGAAGTGAATTCAGAACTGATACGCAAAAAGTAATAGTATCAAAACTTTCCTAGTTTAATACATAAAGACCATTCCACCTCAAATTGAAATTGGATCGAAAAAATAATGAGGAAGAGTCTGTGTAAGAAATGGATTAAAGAAATAAGAGCAACGTTTTATGATGAAACCATGAAGAATAACTTGATCCTCTGCAGATGTTTGACAGGAAATTATTTGAGTATGACCAAATGAATTCAGGCCAGCATTTAATTGGTTTCATAACAATTTAGTACATGGCTAAATTTGATGGATATAATAGCAACCCTGATATGTTCTGTGGCTGTGTTATATCCTTGATCAAGTTGGTAAGACCTTAGGTGTTAACAGTACGAAAGAAATTATTAGGTAGTGTAACACCTTATCTGAAAACAAGAGCAATCTTTGCCCACAAAACAAATGGAAAACAACCATTGTCCATCTTGGTATTGTCAGTGGTTGTGGCTTCTGCTCTTGTCTTGACTTAAAGAATAGCAAAAGCCTATTTCACCATTTCTGCAAGTATTAGAGTCAAATTTGATGTAAGGAGGTGCCCTCTGTGAACCTCTGCCCTGCTTGTTACAGAAGGATGTTTACATAAGAAGAAACTAGAGTGTCTTTGCAAGCCTTAGAAAGGCAAAGGTCATCAGTCATTCTCCTGCATATGGAGAATTCTCTGGCAAAATTCTCCAGTGTGAATATTAGGACAGATTTGGCATTTAGTAGGCCAGAAAATCCAAAATCAATGTTTTGGGACAAAACTAATAAAGCACAGCAATATACTTGTCAGTGTGTATGAAAAAGCATGTGCACTCTGTCAATAATGCAAAGTCCAGTTTATGTATTACAATAAGTCATGTATCCTGCTGATTTTCCTGAAAAGCACAAAAGGCACATAATCATAGAGATTTGTTGTTTGTAAATACTTGGCTAATATACTTTCTTCAGAGCCACATAATAAAACTCAGAAATTTCAGTTTCAGTGGGACAAAGATTTCACCATAACCCTTCTACTCATAGAAACTAGCTCTTCACTAAGAAATAAAAGATGGATATGTTAATGATTCCAGATAGTTTCAAAGCTTCTCACTCTTATTTTCATCTGTGGTTTAGAGGACTGATTCTGCAGTGCTGTCCACTATTTGATTACCAACTGTCTGAGGCTCTGGGTAGTGCTGGGGGATGTGGATGTCTTCTCCTAAACTCCCAAATCTGCCTTTTTCTTCTGTCCTTAAATTAGATTGTATTTGGGTTTTGCTCTGTCTTTATGGAACTCTGTCAGTGGTTTGTGTGGCTTGCTAGTAATTTTTCCAACAGCTTCAGTAACCTAGATTAAAATTTTCCATCTATTCTGTCCTGCACATTCAAGTAGTTTGAAAAGATTTACTCCTTTCTTTCCTGCTCTAAATACTATGCTCTTATCTCAAACAAACCTCCAGTGTATATCCAGTAATGTCATTGTGCCAAATTAATTCAGGTTTAATGTCTAGCACTCATCCATCAAATGTTCCCTTTATATTTGGTTTCCAGAAACCTTCTCCAGTTCTTCTACACAACCACTTTCAAGTCTTGAAACTTCTTTCTATATTTTTCAGAACCTGTCAGTTTTCAGCTTAGTGATTTGTTGCTGCTGCACACTCATATTAATATAATGTCAGAAACCTTTTCTCTTTCTCTCTTTTGAGGTAAAGTTCACAGACTCAGCTTCTTTCAACACACACTGATATTTGAGTACTTGTACCCTGGCACTTCTCCAGCTCCCTCATGTACAAAGCTCCTTTCTGTACAGCGATGGGGTTAATACATTCTGTACCTTCTCAGATGTTTTACGGTTTCAGAAAAGAGCTTCTACGAGTGATTCTCTAATCAAATCCCTTTGGGGAGGGGAGAATCACAGTGTTTTGACTATGTCCTGTGGCAAATATTTGACTATATTGTTTCTTTGCAGAGTATTTTGCTGTGTCTGAAATGTTTTTAGTGACCCATTTCAATAAAAACAACAAACCATTGAGGGCTGTTTTTATTTTCTTGCTTGCAGGCTTTATTTTGGGGTTTTTAGTTGAGAGGTGTGGTGGGTTAGCCTAGGCTAGCAGCCAAACTCCCACCTAGCTGCTTGCTCACTCCCCTCCTCAGCAGGACAGAAGAGAAAATGGGAAGAACAGGAATGAAAAAGCTCATGGGTTGAGATAAAGACAGGGAGACTGCTTACCAATGACCAAGGTAGGCAGCAGACTCAACTGGGGAAAATGTACTTAATTTATTATCAATTAAAATAATAAAAATAATCATGCTCTAGTGGGAAACAAAAATAAAAACATTAAAGCAACAACTTTCCTCCGTGCTTTCCCAGACCCAACTTGACCTCCTCCCTCCTCCGAGCCTCTTTTCCTCCTTTCTTCTTATCACCGCAGGTTACTCTCAGTCCAAGGCCCTTCAGAGAGGAAGCACGCAATGCAAAAGGGGTGTTGATGGGTTATGATCAGGATGTAGTGGTTTCTCTCTGCCATTCCTTTTTTTCTCACACCTTTCTTCTCCTCTGGAGTATGTTTTCCACTGGCTGCGGGGAATATCTGCTCTACCATGGAGCTCTACCAGGTTCCCTCTGCTGTTTCTCATTCTTTTTTTCCTTCCTCCTCCTCCTCCTCTCTCTTCTTGGCATTTTCTGTCCTTTCTTACGCATGTTTTCCCAGAGATGCCACCAGCTAGGCACAGGGCTGCCCCTGCAACCTCCCTGCTGCCAAATCTGGGCACAGACACCCAATACAAGAGGTGCTCTATTAATGCTCTACCAGAGTAAAGCATTTACATAATCTCAGACCTGTCCTGTTCAAAGATTCCCTTATGTAAGTCTCAAATTGGGATGATTTAGGACAGCATAGAGCAAGTATGGACCATGTTTCTCTTAAGTTTTCGCAGGGTAAGCCTTCTACAGACTGAAGACTATTGAAACAATGAGAAACAGACTCCCATAAAAGATTGTGATTTGCATATGATACAATGTAACAGTTACTTTCTTGTCGTAAAGTGCATGTAATATACAATAAGTATGACTTGTTATGGAGGTCAGAGATCTTCACTGCACAGAACATGCTAGTTAGTTCAGCCTTCCCAAATGAAAATTGCATT